GCATCACTGATAATTATTATAAATAAACACTTAAAATATAAATTTATACTTAGCAGTACTTTGTCATTTTAAGTGTCTAATGAAGACACTGAACTGGCATATATTTCTATTTTCTACTTGTTCTATGAAATTTATTAATCTTTTCTTCTATGGTGTCTTCATTTTAGTTCTTTTACAACTTTTTTTAATTTAATTCAAATGAAATTAATCAAAACTTAGCTAACTTGGCTTTCTCACAGGCCACTGAAGGAAACACATCTCTCAACCTTTTTCAGCAATAGCCTCCATTCTCTATAGATGTTGATAACGGGAAGAGTAAAACTGTCAGTCTTGTCTTAAATAAGATAGATGAGGTTTTACACTTGGCAAAGATAAATATAAATCTGTACATTTAAATTGATATAAATCTATCTATCTATATATTTTTTTCTTTGTATGTAAATACGTATATAGACATTGATGCTTTAGAAGAAAAAATTCTAATTTTCAAACAACATGGGCAATAGCTTGAATTGTGAGTGTGTGTGTGTGTGTGTGTGTGTGTGTGTGTGTGTGTGTATTCTTGTTATTGTTCTGAAATAGTAAGGCTTTCTGATCTATGATTCCTGGAGAAGGCGAAAAAAATGTTGAAATACTTGATGCCAAGCTGAGCTGCTCCTGTGTTCCTATGGTATGGCAGTCTTGTGAGTGTTTGTCTGGTCCATGAAGGCAAAGATCATCCTGAACCCAGAGGGATACACCCCACTGCTTCATGATTATCACACCAATAACAATGGTCTTTCTTTTAAGCTACAGAATATTCTCTACACTCTAATCCAAGATTTCCTTTTCTCTTCACACTATTTGACATTGTTGATATTTTTGTGCTTTTCAACTCTTCTGGTAGTTTATTATTCTTTCTATATTTTGAATACACATACACGTGCATACACACTCAAACAAATATACATGTATTTTCTTTTATGATTCATTTTCCATAATATTATTGATATCTCTATTATTTGTTTTCACCACTCACTCATAAAGAATAAATATGCTTTCTCTTATAGTCTCATCTTTTCATGTCTCCATTAAAATAATACTGCATGGAGACATGTCCAACACTAATGTAACAATAGATATAAATAGAATTATCATAAATTCTAGAGATGGCTAAATTCTACAACAAAATCTTTCTCTTAAAATCTTTAGTATGTTCTAAAACCTTGTTAGTGTCATATTGGATTAAAAATAAATGTAAAGCATAAGTATGGGAAATGATACATATGTAAATACAAAATATAGTCATGATATTTCCAATTTATGGAAATTAAGAAAAGTCAAAATGGAAATTTCCAGATATCTTCATTTGAGCAGTAATGAAATAACCCTATATCTCATGCACACAGTGATATGGATTGGCAAAGAGCCTAAATATGAAAAACAGAGGTAGTTCATTTTTAAAGCAATATATGTATATTCATATTCATATATATATATATTCATGCTTCTTGCCATGACCATGATGGACTAAATCTCTAAAGCTGTAAGCTAGCTCTAATTTGTAACACCCAATTCTGTGTTACACCCTTCGGTACAGTTCGCGCGCCACTGTACCATCTGCGAGTTGGGCAAGGGCCTGGAGATTGAAAGAACACACAAGAGACCTGGGTCACTGGAAAGGAGATCAGCTGAATGCCGTTTATTCAACTTTGGGGAAATCCTATTATACCTAGCTGCTGTACCAGGATTTCTGCCCAGGCAGGTGGGAAATTACCATACCAAAGATGAAACAATGTCCTAGAGCTAATCACCAGGCTGGGCAGAGGCAGCACAGGAACAAACAGGATGCTTAGCTGACTGACCAGAAACTGTCCTCAAGATGCACCACAGGAGCAAGGGTAAACTGAGGCCCTACATCAATTAAATGTTTTCCTTTATAAGAGTTTTATTGATCATAGTGTCTTTTCACAGCAGTAGAAATACACACTAAGACAGAAAGTTGGTACCAGGGACTGGGTATTGCTGTGATCGGCCTGACTGTGCTTTCCTTCTTGGAAGAATGTGGATTTTGGAACGTTGAATAAGGAAAGCGGTAAAATGGTTTAAGTGGGTGTAATTGACCATACTCACAGGTTGGATGACTGTGGTGCTGAGAGTGATTTGAACTGTGGGTTCCTGGCTCACGAGGTCTCAGAGAAGAAAAATTTTAGTATGTGGCCTATAGACTGTTCTTGTGATATTTTGGCTAAAAATGTGCCTGCTTTTTGCCCTTTTTTGAAGTTTCTACCTGAGGCTAAAATAAAACATTTTGGATTAATTGCATTGGTTAATGAAATCTCAAAACCACCTAGTATGCTTCCGTCATGTGACTATTAGTGTTTACTCTAATGAAGACTTACAAAGAGAAGGAGCAAGCCAGGCAAGGAAAAAAAATGTACAATTTGAGTTGTTAAGGAACACCAGGAAGCGGAATGGAGCTAATTCATGTGTTCAAGGAGACAAGCAGATTAATAATGGAATAAAGGGTGTGGTGACCTCCTGACAAGATCCAATCCAGCAAAGTTTTCGACTTGTGAAAAGAAATTAAAGAAAAGTTTAGAGCTGGGAGTGGTGTTGCATACCTTTAATCCTAGTACTCCGAAAGCAGAGGCTGACAGAGCTAGAAGTTCAAGTTTGGGTATCTGTTGCAGCGAAGAGATACTATGACCATGACAACTCTTAATAAAAAATAAAATTTAATTGGGGCTGCCATATGTTTCACAGGTTTAGTCCATTGTCGTAAGACCTAAAAGCCTACCCCTAGTGACACATGTCCTCCAACAAGGGCACATCTCCTAATAATGCCACTTCCTATGAACCAAACATCCTAATGCATGATTCTATGGGGGCCACTCCTCCTTAAACCACCACATTCCATTCCCTGGCCCTCAAAGACAATTAGCCATAACCTAATGCAGAAAGGCATTCACTACAGCTTCAAAGGTCTCCATATTCTATAACAGTCTCAATTTTGTTTAAAAGTCCAAAGCTCAAAATCTCTTAGGAAATTCATGCTATCACTTACATACTCAAGCTTTTCCCAATGTGGCACATAGTCTATAGGTACATGAAGATCAAGATGCAGAGCTCTCAGCTCCTTCTCCAGTACCATGTCTGCCTACATGCTGTCACGCTTTTTGCCAAGATGATCATGTACTAAACCTGTGAAACATATGCCAGCCCCAATTAAATGTTTTTCTTTACAAGACTTGTCATGGTCATGAGTCTCTTCACCACAATAGAAACCCAAACTAATAAAGTAGGAAACAAATCCACTATACTTGTTGGATAGATTTTATGGGCACACTTGGTATGCTATGAAATCTTAAGGACAAACAATGTACTTAAGCATTGTTTTTTAGATATTCGTAATGCTGTGCACGTAGACTTTGCATACTTTGCTGTTGGTGTGCAGAATGTGACCACCACATCAATCAGCATACAAAACATCAGAAATCTATAAAGCCCACATTAACTTTCCAGAAGTGGAAAACTTAAATTTGAACTTTTATGCAAAAGTTTTAAATGTCTTCAATTTCCCTTCAAAAATGAGTGTCACAAGTTTGGGAATTATAGGTAATGCTAATGGGAAGGAATACTTGCATTGATTCTTATTATAAGGAAAACACCTTTTAATCTAGCTTTTTCTGTTTCCATTTAAATGAAATTCCACATTAAAAAGTGCTTATCTAGACCATTAAAGAGTAATGGTAAAATCATATTATGGAATCTTCCCCTGATATTAGGAACAGAGCCCAGAGCCACTGTTATCTCCTGTTGCTATAGTGACCTGTGAGTGATACTTATCTCCTAGACATTTTGATGGATCGTTAATCAACTTTGTGTTGATTTATATTTGTTCGAAAGGTAGAATTTTGTAATACTAGCCTATTAATTTGTCTTTTAATATAACAGAACTTTAAGTCAAGCTCTTACTTTCTATGATGATTGCTTTAAAAACAATAGTTTGTTTCTGAGTTTCCAATTTGAGATGTGTAAGAACATTTCCATTATTTATGCATGATTGCACAAATACATGGACAATAGCAAAAACTGGTGACAAGCAGATTATTGGTCCCAATAATCACCATTGTAAGTGTGTATTTCATCTAAAATATGTATGCGAGATGGGAAGAAGGGAGAGAGAGGTGAAAAGGAGAGATAGAGGGGGAGAAAGAAAGAGAGAGAATGAAAATATGAAATAGGGAGAAAGGGAAGTGAGAACGTGAGCAACAGGCCAAACTTGATCACTGTAAACTGATAATAGGGATGTCCCACTTGTTTATTATTCAAAAAATTCAGATTGCAAGTGTCTAATCTTTTGAAAATTCTTGTATCAGAACTGGTTTAACTAATTTTTTTGTAAGCCATAACTTACAATGTTTTTGAATTCCTCATTCCCTAACACATATGTGGCTAATGTTATAATATATCAACTTTTTAAAATTTTAAAAAGTTTTGTTAGTAATTAAAAACAATGATCTTCAACAACTTCACTGTCAGCAGAAAGTAATGGTTCCTGCAGATCTGACAATACATTTAAAAGATTTTCTTCCTTGTTTACTAATTGCTTGTTTATTTATGCTACTGGAAAGTTGTGTGTTCAATTACTCTTGGAATAACATGGAACAGCAAATACAGTCTTGCCTATGCAGGAACCATTAGGAAGAACCTTTAAATGGTGCACTAAGTACTGAAGTTCCTTTGAGAGACTGTTCAGCTCACAGGTGAAAGACAAAGTAAATCTGTTCCCTTCTTTTATAAGAATGTGTAGCCAGTTACACAAATACAAATACTTTATCCCATTGAAATAAGCAACATTTCTTCATAACTTAAAGGACTAATCTTCTGATGTTTTTATTTCTCTCAATATAGCTTTCTGTAAACTATTCAGAATATACTCGCTCTAGAATTTTACAGTGTGTTATTATTTCTAAAATGTTTACTGTTTTGAAATGTATTGTCATTTTATGTTTTAGGAATATACAATAGATGTTTTCTTTCGACAAAAATGGAAAGATGAGCGTTTAAAATTTAAAGGTCCTATGAATATCCTTCGACTTAACAATTTAATGGCTAGCAAAATCTGGACCCCAGATACTTTCTTTCACAATGGGAAAAAGTCGGTGGCTCATAACATGACAATGCCAAACAAGCTGCTTCGAATCCAGGATGATGGGACACTGCTCTACACCATGAGGTATGTTGTTGAGACACGCTGCAAATGACGGTGAAGCTGTGCACCGGCAGCTGGGCAAGGTATCATTAGCCAGGAGCACAAGTGGAAGGAGCATCTTCCGAAATCACCAAATAGCTCATTTTTTTTTAAATAAAAGTTTGGACTTTAAGTAATTATAATGAATTTAATTTTGAATTTGAAAGTCTCCTGGTTATTAAAAATTGATACTTTTGCTGTTCTCTACATTCCATTTTAATTTAAAACTTTAGTATATGACTATTTGTTTGCAGAAGCTTGCAATTTGCCTTTTCATATCCCATCTTGTAGCATCTGCAATTTTAAATAATTTTAAGTACATATTTTAATCTGTATGTAATGTTCTATTATACATAAAAATCCATCATTTTTATTTATTAACGAAATTGGTTAAATCAAATCATTTAATAGGATTAGCCATATCAAATTAGTATTTTATGATTAAAAATAATGACATAACATCAATTTCACGCAGTTCATCCTTTCTTGAAAATATAGAAATACATGTAGCTGTTATCATTACAATTATCTTTTAAATATTCTGATGAATATTTTAAAATAATAAAACTTAATGACATAGAACAAAATATTATAAACCTAATAAAATGATGTTGATTCCAAAGTTAATGATTAATGAAGAATTTGAAAAACAAAATTTTATTAGTGTCATATGCACACAAACATCATGCTCCATGTATTTGATGTCTTATGATGTCATATGAAAAGTTAAGTACTACAATTTATCAATTAAAACTGTTTTCTATTATGTCTAGAGAAAACAGGAGACAGGGATTGATGACTGATTTCTAGATTACCATTGCCTACATTGGAGGCACTGGGTCATTCTTTTCCCTGTTTTTGAATACTTCAATTCTTAGATGTTACAATCTTAATGACTTTATATTTCAACCATTTATTCCCAAAGATTAATGTCCAGAGATTATATAATATTAAGGGTGGTTATAGAATGTTCTATTTGTATACTCTGTGACTTTTTCGCCAGGTTGACTGATGATCATCTTTTTCTCAGCTCAATTACAAGAGACTTTTCTTTGAGTTTCATTTAATTCTTGTTTATTCACTTTGCTCTTATGTGAAATAGAAATAATTAGAAATATTCTTCATCACAGATTTTCTCTGGCTATTCTTTTCAATGATCTATATTATAGTCAGATATAAAAATTATATTTTTAAAATTACTAGACTTCTACCTATAATTTAGCCAGAAATTATTGTGAACAATGTATTTTAGGTGATATATCTATCTATATCTTATGTCTCAACACGTCTTCCTATTTAGCATAAGATACACATTCACAAATGGTATGTCTTTAAAACCATATACTGAAGTAATACATAAGTTTTTCTCTATATTTGATGAAAGAATGAGAAAAAAGTCACCATTTCCATAACAGAACTTTCAGAATCATCAGCTATTAAATATTGATGGTGATGTTAATGGCAAACCTTTTTTCAAAAACCCATATAATTTATTTTTCTTGTGTTTAAACCTCTATAAGCCTAATATAGAGCTCCAATTCTACTAAAAACAGTAACGAGTGATTTATCTTGACTAGCAAATACACTTAAACCAAGAGTGGAATTTTGGCTTCTAGGCTTACAGTCCAAGCTGAATGCCCAATGCACTTGGAGGATTTTCCAATGGATGCACACTCATGCCCACTGAAATTTGGAAGCTGTAAGTATAAGGATAAAACTATGTTTTAAATCGATAATGCCACCAGTAGTCAACATCTCTGTTGAACCATGCACAGTTTCTTCTCTTATTATGGAGTGCATAATAAATGACCTATAGGATGCAGAAGTGAAAGACATGGTGGTTGCCCTCAAGGAACCGGTTGGAGTGCCCTATGTCTCACTCAAGTGTTTTCATCCATGTTTTTCAGTTTAAAACATCATTTCTTTTGCTACAATTAAAAAAATATGTGTTTCAGTTTGTGTATAAAACTAAATCAGGGACTATTGTAGAGTCAGTCCTATACTTTATTCATATTTTCTCCTACGGCTATCATGTTAAAAATGTAAAATTATTTTTTGTTCAGTTTAAAATGAATTATATATGACAAATTCTACTGTTTGCTTGCTATTTGACTGTTATTTGGGCCAGAAAAAGAGATTAAGCCCATTCAGTTGTCTGTCTACCATTTACCTGATGGGAGAAGTTCTTTTTCTTTTTAAAATACATTTAATGAAGATGACAAGATTGGAACGTTAGACATCAGTATCTTCTGTGCAGATAGAACATTTCTAAAAGTTTCTGTGCCTCTGGCCATTCTCTGGGTCACTGAGTTGCATCTTATATGTCAAGCAGAAGCATTCACACTATGGGATAATGGAAAGCAAGAAGTCAGGTCATCTTTCTGGGCCCACAGGACACTCCAGGAAGTTTCGGGATTAATTCATCAGTGTAGCTAAGCAGCGGCCTTCTTTCTGGAGATGCCTTCTTCCCTGACCTTCTTAGAAACTGTGCTTTTTTCTGACATCCCATTTTTGTGCATTCAGAGCAGTTTTAGGCTTTTCTCTTACTTCTGTAAAATAGAAGTTTCTGCTTCTAACCTGATTAACTGCACTAACGGACTGAGTAAGGAAGCATGTATCTTCTCTCAGACTACCAGCTCGGTGAAAATAGAACGGTCAATAGAGAATGTAGGTTCCTCTATTGATTTGAGGATGACAGTTTTGTGGAGAGGTTCAAGCTTGTTTGCTTTGTATATCCTTGTAGCAGCTGTCAGTCCTTAATTTTCTCTGAGAGCATCCTCTGGGCTTAACCACAAGCCTTTTTGTTATTGCCATGGGAACCATCACTTCAAAACTGGCATTTCTTCCAATATTATTTAAGATAGTCAGTCATGTTATACAACGTAAACACAGTGTTGAGAAAACCAGAGCAGATGCAGCAGAGAAACTCATTTGCATTGCATAAGTGACATTAAAGGCAAACTTGAAAAGCTTTGGCACCCAAAAGAATGTATGCAAGATGCAGTAATGATATGGGAAGGACAAGTGTTTTCAGTAGATGAGGTATTGTTACTATGACATCAGATGTCAATGGCAAGATGCCTCAACACTGAAAATGAGATAAATTTGCTTGGAAGGATTTGATTTCAAATTGAAAGCTTTACAGAGTACAGCTACAAAGTAATGGGATACGAGTGCCTGAGAATATTATAGCTTGCCCTATCCAGAATGCATATGGCCAACACACAAAGTTTCTGGCTTTATTCTTTTTCTATGTAATTATTACTTATTTTATTTTGCGTTCTTTACATTTGTGTTCTGACACATAGCACAAGCCGTTTCTCTATCTCTTACTTTTCTTTGTGTATAGCAAGTGCTTGAGGCATCTGTGTTAGCAGTGTGGACAGCAGTGTGGAGTGAGAGATCAACCTTAACACGCTGGCACAGAATAAGTTTGGCAGAAGCATCCGTGACATTTTCTTGTAGCTATTTCTTGCTCTGTTTTAGAAGTAGCACTATTCTAAAATAATTGAATTTATGGATCTTTGTCATTCTCCTCAAATAAATGAAGCCTCTTCCATATTCATGCGATTTAAAGTTCCTTATTATTTTACTGGTATCACCATATCGCCTTAGATAGTTATACTTTTAATGTTTCATTTGACTTGAAACTTCCTGAGTGTAAGTATTGCAGTACTCTCTGTGCGAGCCCCCCTTCAAACTGAAAACTTACATTTTTTTTAGGATAAAAGTTAATAGTTTAAAATTATTTAAGAATATACTCATTGATTACTGGGTTTAAACCAGTGAGCATGTATATGTATAATGTAGACTAGCATTCAAATATATATTGCTTAAATAAGTTAAATATAGTCACTCAATGAAATACTCATTTCAAAGTGGGGTTTATAAAGCAAGTTGTAAAACAAACTGCCTTCTCCTTTTCAAAATGTGTTTTGTTTTGTATTTAATTTTTTGTATGTGTGTGTGTGTGTGTTTGTCCATTTCTTTGGGTAAGTACACATTAGTGCAGACACTTACAGAAGCCAGAAGAGGGCATCAGATCACTGGGAGACAGAGTTTCAGGAAATTGTGAGCCCAGCTAGTGTTGGTGCTGAGAACCAAACTCTGGTTTTCTGCAGGAGTATTACTTGCTTTCAACTGCTGAGCCATTTCTCCAGCCTGTCTTTTGCATGTATACTTTATTAATAAACATAGTGATGATATTAAAAAAACATAGTGACTTATCTGTGTGTTTGATCAGAAGAGGGTGCGCCTGAGCTGCATTGAATTATATTCTGTTTCTTGTCCTATCACAACTGTAAAAAAAATACAAAAGACATTTAGACTAGTTAGTGAAAAGCAGCGAATTATTTTAATAGACATATAAAAGATCAATCATTTTTGTAATGTTTTCATGAACTACTATCAGATATGCAGATTTCATGTTTTTTACACAGCTTAATCATAATCTAACAGGAACAAATTGAGAATACTTACAGAAATCAATCAGATAGCCTTTGCCCATCTGTATCTCATTACTTTTACAAAATATCATTACTTTTATGGACTTTAATTTCTGCTAGTTGTTTCTAATGATAAGATGAAAATTTAAGGAATGTTTGTTTGATACTTTAAATTGTGCAGCATTGGAAATACTCTTGTAGAAGGGACCATCGTGTTTACTCATGAGGGAAACAAAGCAAGCCACTTGATGAACTATAAATGAATGCTTAGTTAAGTATATTGCTAACTTATTGCTTGATGTTTACAGTGGCATCACAAGTGATTATTTAATTGGAATTAGCTAATTGGCAAATTAGACTCTAGCATAATTCGATTTCACATGTGCAAATATATGAATATTTTTCTACGAAAGTATGTACAAACACACATATAAGTATGTATGTATATATATATAATCCTATTTCAAAAATTGTTTAACATAACATCATTTATTTGAGGATGTATAAATCCACATATAAATATAAGGAGTATTTCATTGATATTAGTATTAGTAGCAACATTCAAAAAGCCATATAACATTGAATAGCATTAAAAGACCATACAGCTAATGACAAACATACATATTAATATCCATTGTGTTGCACCTGAAACTTGAATGGAAATCAAATTAGGTCACATACCCTAGCTCAAGTTCACTAATAGAGACACCTCAGTACCATGAAACTATGTGCACAAACTTTTACAGAATAAATAAATATGATTTCAAGTCTCATGGAAACCTGACTAGTCCTGTTTCCTCCCTGGTTGTGAATATCAGTATCATGCCAAGTTTTGTTTCCCACACTGCCACATAGAAAACAGGACAAAGAAGTTCTCCAAAGGTCGGCAGTAGAGCAGGAATTATCCCCGTCATATTTACAATTGTAAAGAGACTCTCTGCATAGAGATAGGGGCTCTCAGATTTTGTAAAGTAGTATACTTACAGGGACATAGAAAATATTGCATAGAGAATTGCTCAACTCCAAAGGAAGCTCATTTCTGATAAGTTCTTCATTTTGGTCAAATACATTTTCTCTTTCTATTAATTCTCAACTTAACTGGAATGTTATATAATTGTAGTCTCTGACGCTGGTATTCATTAATTAACTTATAAATGAATATGTTTGAGAATGCATCTATAATGTGAAGGAAATATATAATCTTCTGTTTTATTTTTATGCCAACAATTAGTTCTCATTGTTTTAATTAAATTCCTTCATTCATGATAACTATATTCATTATCTCTTAACTAAATAATTTGAATTTACAGAAAACAAAGGACTTTGGATTATAATTTTTATTTTATGGGTGGTCACCATTTTAAAATAAACTGTGTGATACCTTCATTGCTTATTTTCACAATGTCTTCCTCAACTACTTCAGCACTGAGGGAGTGTTATGATCATCTTGGGAATCAATGATTTTTTTTCTGCCTCTAAAGAGAAATTTACTCACCACCTCTCAAAGTGGTACCAATGAAAATGTGTCCTTGTTCATTATTGTTTTTCCTGACCCTCTTTATACCTATAATTTTAACCTTATAAATTCAAAGTACACATTTTCTCTAAATCTGTGATGATTAAATGTTATTTTTGATAAATATTGATTCTATTAAGTCTGCATCGGTAGACCAATCATTCTGTCAGTGTTTCTTATTCAAATGTTTATAAAATTTGTTTTTCGTTTCTGACAGATGCATACACAACCTCAGAAGTCACATATATTTGGACTTATAATGCTTCTGACTCCGTTCAGGTTGCTCCTGATGGGTCTAGGTTAAATCAGTATGACTTGCTGGGTCAGTCAATTGGGAAGGAGACAATTAAATCCAGCACAGGTTAGTAACATTTTCTAAAAAATCTAATGTCCCTCCCCCCAGATTAGTAGGTTAAAATGATAAAAAAAAATGTCAGAAAATTGAAAAAAATTTTTCCTTTGAGCTCTATGGACTAACAGCACAAATTATTTGGAAGTTTTTTGAGACATTCATAATCAAACTCTTTTTATAAAGCAGGTTCTGCAACAAGATTCCAAGGAGATTCATATGTGCATGCAAGTTTCAGAAAGCATGTTTTAAAACAAACTGACTACTACATACTTAAAAATATTATCTTCTCAGATCAGACAACTTCATCATTTTCCTTCAAAGTAGCGATAACTATTTTCCTAGTTTTCTTCTTCTTTTTTTTCCTATTGTGGATAAATTATGATTGTTGAACCCATGATTTCTGGGTAATTGCCCCTGGCCTGCATGGAAATCTCCTCTCTTAGGCAAAACTCAGTAAAGGAAAAGGCAGCTGTGTAGAATAATTATCTTCCATCTGGAAATAATTAAGACTGTGGGAGAAAAAAAAAGAAGGTAAGTATGAGAATTAGATAAAACCTGACCGGAACAAATTACAGCAGGCACATGGCGAGAGATAGTCAGAACTGGTGATGGAGTTAAAAAAGAACAGTGTCAGTGGTGAGACCAGTCATGAGTGTTTTCAAGGTCCAGGAGGGATGGGCAATCAATTCCTGCAGCAGCACGTAGGTTGCACCAGTGGACAAGTGGGACACAAGTCAATAAGATAATCTATAAGCAGAGTCTTTAGAATGCTGCTGGGGAGTGGGCATGACCCAAAGAGAAAAATTAACACCATGTCATGGGGCATAGCAGTGCAAGGTTGTTGATACTGTGTAATTCTTTCTAAAATTCTCTTTTTCTAATGAGACATTTCTATTTTTTCTATAGTTTTCATGAAACGTATGTGACCATTTCTTCCTGTTTTATCAGGAACTGTTCTTCTTGTCATCCCTTCCATTTCCAAATTGTTCTGACTATTGACAAGTACAGTTCCTTAAGCTTCTTAAATTCTCCTTCCAGGTGAATACACTGTAATGACAGCTCATTTCCACTTGAAAAGGAAAATTGGGTATTTTGTGATTCAGACCTATCTGCCTTGCATCATGACTGTCATTCTCTCCCAAGTGTCATTCTGGCTTAACAGAGAATCTGTGCCTGCAAGGACTGTGTTTGGTGAGTGAATGCCTGCAGTACAGCACATTTTGTTTCAAAGTGTACTTCCCACGTTTTCTCTCTCTTGATGCTTGCCACATTGTGATATACAGTTCAGGAGATGTTGATTCTAATTTATAGATGAGGAAGCAGAGGTTCTGAACTATAAATTGTAATCAATACCACACTGTTATCAAAGACTGAAATTACCCAAATAACTTGTAGACACATTTAGTTTTTTATTTTATTTTTATTTTTCTGTTTAATCACACTACTTTTTAATGTTCTTCTCTATCATACTAGATGAAAGTGTTTTTGAGATCTTAATTCAGGGTTGAAGAATATTATAACTAAAGGTGTTTCTTATTAATATTTTTCTTTTTTCCATTTTTTTAAATGAAAAAGAATGATGTTAAGTCTTTCAGTTAGAGAACATGGAGAATGTTGAGCTAGACTTTGTTCTCTTCCATAGGAACATTTGATTTTTTTAATTAAGAACAGGGGGAAATTTTCAGATTTAAGAGGGGAATACCATGAATTTAGACTTTGTGTATTTATTTTGGTGTTATTTTGAATGAAAGTCATTCATTTAAGTAACGTATTTGCTACCACCGCTTGTTAGCTTTTGTGACATGTCTGAGACTGCTGTTAGTCTCTTTACCGCTGAAATTTATGACTCACATCACCAGGCCCACTCAAGATTCAAGTTCTTAAATCAATGAAGGAGATTTTGACAATATATTTTTTACATAGAAAATACTGAACACATTCTATAAAAATATATTATCTTTGTGTTTGTGGTACTCTCCTTCACTTATGAAAGTGTTGTTGGGAACATGTTAAGTACTGTACCCGCAACTGGGAAAACAAAACACACAACATATATCTCTGGCTTCCAGGTGGTTTGGGTCGTGAATGAAAGCAGAATAACTGGAGGACAATGGTCATGTGGGATGACTGCTTTATCACAGAGGCTCATCCACCCTGCTCTATAACAAAAGTCAGAATTAATGACTAAAATGGTGAATTAATATTTGAGACATGATTTAACAATGAGCAGGAATATTGTGAGCAGAAAGCCTGGGCAAAATCATAGCCAAGGGGAATGAAATGTTCAGTAACGTTGAGGACATGGTGTGTTTGGTGACAATTATTTTGGTGATGGACAATGAAATTACAAATAAAGATCTGGTGTAAGGCCATAATGAGAAAGCGTTTCAGTTCATCTTAATAGAATGAACTTTCATCTGCATAATAGGCAATCCAGTTCAGTGTTCTGATGCCATGGCATTGGTAAAGACCTAAGAAAAAGGCTGGCTATTTAATATATCCTGTATGTTTTATTTTGATAACTACTTTGTTGGGTATTATTGACACATATAATTCTATATTATATGTGCTATGCATATTTGATAACAGTATATATAATGAGTATATACATGAATCTGTCACGGTCATTACTTTTCAACTTTCTCCTATTCCTTTCCATTATTAGTTTGTTGGGGGGAACTTAATATATAAGTTCCATTCTTTCAACATAATTTGTTCATATCACACAGCATTGTTAGTTACATTATGCTGTGTGGCAGGTTTACTAAAATGTATATTTTTCAAAGTTATTCTTTTTGTGATTATTATGATCCTATTTATATTTTAGAAAAATCTGGCAACTTTGTAGAAGCTGAAATATAAGAAAAAGCCAGAGGCACTGAATAAGGTTAGAGAAACACTTAAAGTAGTCCAATGAAATAAAATAAAAAATTAGTAAAGAAGATGCAGGCAATAAAGAAAAAAATGAATGGTAGGGAAAAGATCTAGGAGTTTGAGTATAAATTCATCAAAACTATAAAAAAAATTTAAAATAATACATATGTAACTTTATTTATTTAAGTGAATAATATCACCGTTTTGTTGAACTACAAAAGCAAAATGAACAGAGTAGAAAAGTTATAAAAATTAGTAAACTTTTGGTAATGCGGATTTAAATTTTAAAGTTACATGTAATATCAGGTTTCAGTCCAGTGAGTGAACAGGAGCAGTTTGTAGAACATAAAAGAATAATTGAGCCTGATATTAAACGTGGGAATCATTGGTTGACAGGTAATAAAACTTATGAGTCTAGAATTTACACACCAGATAAATTAGTTAGGTGAATGTGGGGCCAGACGAGAGAATTCTAACGAATTTCAAGGGGTAAGATTTTTAGACTTGAAATTTGAAAAGAATGATCAGAAAATTAGAAAGAAGATACATTTTCAACATCACATAAACAAGTATACAAAAAGAGTTAAACACATAATCTTCCACTGAAATCAAGTCTCAGCCATTTTATATTTTATATATAAACACACACATAATAACAATAATACATATTAGCCTCTTATAGATTTTTTATGGGCCATTTCTAGAAAGAGCTAAACAGAAACAATATGCCCTAAGGAAAGAATGGAAGACCATTTTGTGTTAGGCAACTACTGCATGGGCCATTTACTGGAATGTGGTTGATTGATAAGTTGCCTTTTGTCTTTCATCTTTCCATCTTTCTATTGTTCTTTCTCCCTTCCTTTCTTCCCTCCACCTTTTCCTTTCTTTCTTTCTTTTTTGAAAAAATCAATTTAAATTTTTGTTTGTTATTCTCTTTTTTTACATAGAAATGGAGTTGAGAGAAAGGACAGAAGGGAACATGAGGTTGAGTGGGCTACTGGGGTGAGGAATATCCAGGAAGTGTTGGGAGAATGGAAACAATATAATCAATGGATATTGTATGAAAACAGCCAATAAACTTTTAAACAAAAACATGGGAAAGTGAAAAGGAAATGGAGAAAAGAGATAGCTGAAAAATTTTAAAATGTGTATGTATCTGTATAAAATTTTTTGAAGATGAAATTTAGAAAAAGATTTATCTACAAAATAAACTGTGGCCTACAATTGTCAGCACATGCTTATATAATGTCAATGTTTTCTTTGTAGTAATATTACGTGATATTTGTAATTCTATTTAACTAAAAACCATTGACATGGTTTACATGAAGTGGTTTATAAGTTGGCTATTTTCCAAACACATACTTTGTTCAACGATCTGTGCATAGTGTGTGAGAAAGTAAATTAGGTACTGCTATGTCACTCCATAGTGCACTAAAGACTCCTGCCAGCTTCCTCTTCTGCTGCTTTGTAAATGGACATATACATATACATATACATATATATACATGCATACATACACACAAATATATGTATATATGTATGTATGTATGTATGTATGTATGTATGTATTGACACCAATCATCCTTGCACTTACACTTACTTGGTTTCGGGAATGTCTCACTCATAATCTGGAAAGTATTCACATTGTTAAATAGTTAAGAGAATAATACTTCAGAAATGGAAACAACATGAGTAAAGAAATGGACAAAGACACAGAAAATGCTATGCCTTGTAAGTGATTATATAATGGCATTAATCAGGTTTAATTGCACTTGCACTTATTTGGGTTTTGGCATGTCTCACTCATCATCTGGAAAGTAGGTGCACACTGTGACTGCTATATGACTTGGAACATAGGTTCTATATGATAATGATAAATGTGCATCAAATAAATGGATGTAATCACATGATCCACAATAATGGACAGTTTCTCAGTAGTAAACTCACTACTTCTTTAAACATAGCTAGAGCAAAGGTATATGCTATCTAATGGTATAGGCTAGCTAAGCATCAGTAGTATTGTAAATACCAACAAGTGAAGAAAAGTCACACAAACTATTCCTGTACAAAACTATAAAGTAGGAATTTAAAAAGTGAAGGTATTTTAAAATAGTTAAGAGAACATTTCAGAAATAGAATTAGCATGATCAAAGAAATGGGCAAAGATGCAGAAAATTATATGCAATAGTAAAAAATTCAAAATAGTAAAATACATACTGGAAAGTGAGAAAAATCAAAGAAATCTCTACCCTACAGAAAAAGTTATGAGTTTTTGTCATGTTCACATGGAATATTATTCAGGATATATGATGTTTGGGGCTACAAAAACCACTTCTCATGCTAATTAAAGTAATTAGAATGATTCCCAAGTCCTTCTTCAAATATAGCAATGACATCAATAATTAGAAACAATAAAACTGGAAATATGTGGTAATGAAATAAACACATAAAGAATCAGCTATCCAAACAGTAAGTCACTTAGGAAATCAGATTATGCATGGAGGAAAGAATATGCAAGCATAGTGTGGTTAGTCTCAATCATAATTAAAGAATTCATTAGAAACAATGTTCAGATGAAAATTCATAGTAATTGGCATCTATTTTAACAAAGGAAAAGACTCAAATAAGTAAATAATCTAAATTATTGTTTTAGATCAGAAAATTAAAACAGATAAATCAAATGAGTATAGTGTCAAGGAAATAAGAATAAAAAAGAAATACAAATACAAAATATGAAAGCAATAGCTTAAGTAAACAGAACCAAAAGCTCATTTCTTTTAAATATCAGCATAATTAGCAAACCACCAGACAAAATGAAAAAAATCAGAAACCTAAAATAGGTGTAGACTTTGCCCATAACTTTTCAGAACGTAAGCAGACCATAAGAAAATTACACAATAAGTCTACAACTTCAGTAATCTTGATGGGATAGATTTCTAGAAAAATACAAATTAGCTTAGGAAATCTCAGAAGATTTAAAGAAGTTCAGTGAGTAGCCACTTTGAACAGAAGAGTAGGTACCGAGTGAATCCAGTGATGGACTTGATCCAGCTTTCAAAGCTTTAGCGCCAACCACCTTCAGGACCAGACAAAGCAACACTGGATTTGAATATCAGTCATTTCTCAGAATTGAGATGCTGATATTTTTCCAGACACATATATCCAGCTTGGAAAAATTACTGATTAAAATCAAAACATAGCACTGACAGAAATAGCAGAAGTATTCATGTTAATGACTTCTAAAGCAAAGCTGAATGACTTCCAAAGAACAGATAATAGAGATTTTATGGAAAATAGCTATATAACAATGAAAAAGA